TCCCACCTCCAATATCAACCAAGTGCGGTTCAGGCCTGAGTCTTGAACTCAAAGGGACTTTTTAGGTTCCTCAGGACCCACTTTCCATCGTTTAATCTTTTGCTGAGCTGCCGTGTCCCTTTGAAACATTCATTCCATTTCCAAACACATTGAATAAGGACTGGAATGTTGAATGTTTAACTTTATTTCTTTATTCTTCTTTATACCTAGGACTTGGCACCGAGGTTCCTTTGCAGCCAAGATGGCACCATGAGTGGTGACATTGTACACTTTTCACTGTACCCCTGTAACTGTACACATGACAGTAAAACCGAATTCTCATTCTCATTCTAAACACACGCAGCGTCCTTCGGTTAAAATCGTCGACTGGCACAATCTCGGAAAAGGGCATTTCATTCAAATCGCCAACTGCAGAGAGTATGCTGCTCACGTTTGAACTGGGGACTCCTTGCAGAAGGAACAATGGTGAACTTACCAAGTAACATATAAAAGCCAGATAGGCGACCGCTATGATTGCTGCCACGGCATAGAACACGACCATGTGGAGACTCCTCACGTAATCGATCACAAAATATACGTTAATGCAGCAGATGATCAGAATGATAAATCCCCCGATGATCTTCCATACTCTGTTGGAAGAGAAAAACAGTTGAGAGGGTGTTAGCCATGAAAGTGCACTCAATCATCACAGTGCAGTAGCAGGACATTCAAGCCATCGGACCAACATTGAATCTATACCCCAGCGCCAATCTCGCGCCTTTTTCTCATAGCTCCGGGCACCATTTCTCTTCAAAACATTACCCAATGCCCTCAATTAAGGGTTTATACATAGCATCTCGTCTGGTGCCTCACATGGAGGGGTGATGTCTTTGCCTGTGTGTCAGGGTTGGGGTGTGGGGGAAGGGAGCGCGTGACATTGCCCGCATATCGCTGCATGACTATGAAGCACTGAGATCACACACTGGCATCCGGATGACCATCCAACGTGCGTCTGAGAAACAAACTGATGGCCTTGCGAGCTCCTGGCTGGCATTGCCGTGTGGTGCCACCATTTCGCCCGCTCCTGTGGCAGCACCCCGTGGCTCCGCAGTGTAAGTGGAGTGGCCTGTAGGTGGGCTCGCCCATGGCTGGCGGGCGAGCTGTGCCAGTCTGCCTACAGGGGAGCAATGAAAATCCCTGACATCGATGCAAAATGTGCCATGCAACAAAACTGATGATGCAACAGTGTTGAGCAGTGTCTAGGGTACGTGCCCTCTCAGCATAGCCTCCTACATTCCACATGCAGCCTTGAGGTTTCTGCGCAGTTTGTGCAATGCGACGCATTCTATTTTCGATTTTTTGCGCGTACAAATGCACTTCAGAAATGAAAGGTTTCTCCCACTCAGAAACAAATTGTTTCCAAAGGGTCAGCAACTTCAGCAATGACCTGAAAGACATGGATCGGAAGATGGTCGCGTTTTTTGATTGTGTAGATCTCTTTTTTTTTTTTCAGAAGATGCTCAAGATGAAGGCCCCTAACCCTTTCGGATCCCCATCATTTGCAAGTATGTCAACGGAAACATGCGGAGCACTGAAGATTTGAAAATCTCTGAAGTAAACACAGTCAAACTCCTGAATGGCACATACTGGTCTGACTCACAATAGAGAATGATGCCAACAGTGTGGGTTCAATTCCTGCACTGGCTGAGGTTACCATGGAAACACTATCCTCGACTTCTCCCCTTGCCATGAGGTATGTATAGTGTCATTCCACCCCCCTCCCCACTCAGTACAGTGGCTAAGATTGGAGATGGAAATAGCCCAGTTTTGCCAAGCTGCCCTGCCTACTGCTTAGAGGCATTGAATAAATTCTGTTTGCTGTTCCACTCTGACACTCTAGAGTGCCGGGACTGAGCTTGGTTTTTATCCTGCTAACTCTGCAACTTCTCCCTCGTTCACTTGTTCCGGCCCCCCCACCCCTAACAATGCTTCGCTCTGGAGTTGAATGCATTGGAGCCAGGTGGCCATCTTTCAGTGTGCCCCCAGTGAAGCATACTCTTAGAGTCACACAGTATGGAAACAACTTGTCCATGCCAACCAGATATCCGAAATTAATCTCGTTCCTTTTGTTTTTAAATTCACTCATCGGATGAGAGGCTAGGCAGCATTTATTGCCCATTCTTAATTGCACAGAGGGCAGTTAAGAGTCAACCACATTGTTGTGGGTCTGGAGTCAAATGTAGGCCAGACCGGGTAAGGATGGCAGGTTCCTTCCCTGAAGGACAGTAATGAACCAGATGGGTTTTTCCTGACAATCGACAATGGATTCATGGTCATCACTAGACTTTTCATTTCAGATTTTTATTGAATTGAAATTCCACCATCTGCTGTGGTGGGATAAGACCTCAGGTTCCTGGGACATTAGCTGGGACTCTGGATTAACAGTCCAGCGATAATACCACTAGGCCATCACCTCCTCTTTTGGTTCATATCCTCTGAACCCTTCCTATCCATGTGCCCATCAAGATGTCTTTTAAATGTTGCAATAGTACGAGCCTCCGCCACTTTCTCTGGCAGCTTGCTCTATACATGCTTGTGAAAAAGTTGCCCCTTAGGTCCCTTTTAAATCTTTCCCTTCTGACCTATGCCCTCTCACTTTGGGCTCCCCTACCCAGGGGAAAAAAGGACCTTGTCTATTCACCCTATCCATGCCCCTCACGATTTTATAAAGCTCTATAATTCATCCCTCAGCCTCCGATGCTCCAGGGGAAG